CTTTCTTTCTTTCTTTCTTTCTTTCTTTCTTTCTTTCTTTCTTTCTTTCTTTCTTTCTTCCTCTTTCTTTTTCTTTCTTTCCTTTCTTTCTCTTTCTTTCTTTCTTTCTTTCTCTCTCTCCTTCCTTCCTTTCTCTCTTTCTTTCTCTCTTTTTTCTTCCCTCCCTCCCTCCTTCCCTCCCTCTTGTGGCAGAGGGGTCAGGCCTTTGCATGTTGTAGGGACTGATTGGGCCATATTTATCCTGCAGCTATTTTTTCAAGTGGCTGCTTCTTGCCATATTTTACAGCCAAAGATCTATTATTTTGCTAAAGGCAGAACCGCAGGCTGACTAACTTTCTCCAGAGGCAAACCAAATATTTAGGGGAGGGGACAGGAATCCCAGAAGAATTATTTGCTTTCTTTTGAATATTTGCTACTGGAATAAAACCTAGTGTTCCATATAAATAGAGCCTTAGGGCTTGGAGTCTGCAAACTCAGAGCTATCTATATTAGCTTTGTGACCTGCTGCTATTAGTTGAGTGTTGTCTCCTGGGGATAATAAGACCTTTACTCTCTGTCTCACACAGGTATTGTGGGAGACAAATAGCATGATTTTTGCAGACCTGTCCCCCCCTCCCATATAAATATCAGGCAGTACTTTGACTGGTTTGGTTTACTTTTATCAATGGCAAACATGAATAAGACATCCTTAGCACAGTGCCTCAAGGGGTCAGAATTGTATAGCCACATTTAGAGCTAAAGGAGAAGGAGCGTGGGGATGGGGTACGAATTACTTTTCATTCACAGGTGGCTCATGTGCTTATGTGTGAATTATGTATAGTTAAGGACATTTACTGCGAATGTACCTAAAAACTTGTAGAGATCAGTCATTGGAAGACAAGATTTTAGAGGGGTCAGAGAAATGGTGTAGAGGGTAACAGTACTTGCCACCAAACCCAGTGACCTGGGTAAGATCCCTGGAACCCACATAGTGGCAGTAGGGAACCAGCTTTTCTACATTTTCTTCTGATGCCAACACATGGCAAAATAAGTAAATGTAAGTTTGGAAGAGCTGGGGAGATGGCTTAGTGGGTGAGAGTGTCTGTTCTGCGAGCATGAGAACCTGAATTTGAATCACCAACATCCACATACAAACCAAAACAAACAGGCAAGACTATGTATACTAAAACCCCAACATCGGGGGTTAGAGGCAGGTAAAACCCACCGGTTGGGCAGCCTAGCCAAAACAGAGCTTCCATGGTTCAGTGAGAGACCCCGTCTCAAAGCAATAAAGCAGAGAGTGAGAATATGGCATCTGAGGTCTTGCTCTGGCCTCTGCATGGCCACATGTGCACGTAACAGGCTTGAACAGTCTGTGCACTGGGTATATACATGTGTCACACACACACACAGCAAAATATGTGAGCAGATGTTTCATAAAAGAAGAAATAGTGATATTAAGTAAGCATGTTAAAAATAGTCAGTTGTTAGTCAGAAATACAAGTTAGGATTACAAGAAATCGTTTACTGCTTGGTAGGTTGGTACAAAACAGTTCTAAATGTGGGTCAGAATGCAGAGCAATGAGTACAGTGCTAGTGAGGACCTAAAATTGTGTAGTCACTTTCTGGAAAACAATTTGGCAGTCTTTATGAACCATCAATCTCACGGTACATAGGTTAAATAAAAATGTGGCCACAGAGGTTCATTGCAGCTTTATTTTTAAGAACCAATAATGGGCAAATGGAAGTCTGTTGAGTAGTGACTCAACAGTCTGTATTATTTTCTCAGGGTGGGATGCTGTTATAACTGACACTATGGATGCAGGCATGACAGTGTTTACAGGACCCAGATTAATCAGTGTTATGCTAGAGGAAGAAGAAAGGCTCAGAAGAGCTTGTACTTTGTAAATGCTCCACTTAAAGTTGTTGGACATCAAAGCTGTCCTAGTGGAACTGAACTCCAGCCAGAAGAGAGGGCATTGAATATCCCTTGGGATTGAATAGTGGTGAGCTGCTGCCTAGTGGATGCTGGGAATCATATCCAGCATGAGATCCTTGTGCAAATTTCAATTTCTTTCCGGCCATTGTTTCAATAGTCTAATAGTCACACTGAAAAGCACAGCCTTTATAGTGTCTTCATTTCTGCCAGGTATATTATGCTAGCAGAAGTACTTCAGAGGTCTCCAGGGCTAGAAATAAGGGCCCTTATTGGATTGTGATGAGCAGGGGATGTTTATGTTGGGTGTTGAGTTGTCTTTGTTTTGTCTGTAATAGTGATTATTGCTATTATTATTATTATTATTACTTCATACTGGTAGTTTTTATTTCTATATGATATCTCAAAAAAAAAATCCATGAACAAGCTGGGTAATTGCTGTGCTAGGGTGTAGCAGGGAGGTGACAGATGAACAGAAGGACGTCAGCTAATGAGAGCTGTTTGGAGGATGTGCTCTGAAGTCCAGTGCTTTCTTGTGTGTTACAGGTGGTGGAGTTTGAGGGCTGGGCTGACACCCTGTTCCTGCTGCAGTTCACTCTCTCCTGCATGATGGGGTAAGCCTTTAATGGAATTCTTCTCCCTTGTTTCTGAGTGTCCTATTCCATTTCCAGAGTCTCACCTAGATCCCGGTGGCTTCACGTCCCCTGGGAATTTGCTAAACTCATCCCAAGCCACACATAGACGGAGACATGAAACGGATCTTTATCCACCATCCAACTGTTGGATAACAGCTGTTATATTTCCGTTTGCATCATTCCACTTTCCTCAACATTGACATCGACAAGAAAGCAGGCTTGGAGCTTAGTTATCTAAACTTGCATGGTTAGTGGCTTAGTAGTGGTGGCATCTCAATTTGGGGGATGCTTGACTTCTGTGTAGAGTGGGGGATGATCTGTGCATTTCCCGGGTGTCTTTTCCTTAGCTGGTCAGTTTGGTTGCAGCTCATGACTGCACATACTCACAGTAGGACAGTGCTTCAGAAGGCTCAGTGATCTGTGCATCACATATGCTGTTGGGGAGTTGCTGAGCAGACCTGTCATCCCCTCTGAAATTCTCATTTGTTTTTTTCCATCATTGCCTTCATCCTTGGCCATGGGGTCACCTTACCCCAGTGGCCACTGCCCTGATCACAGATGCCTGTGAGCCCTGAGTATTCTGCCTGGCTTTCAGGAGTTAGCAGAGAGGATGTTCTCTAAAGAGCCTGTATTATGTTGAATGAGATGTCTGTGGTTTTGGTAGTAGAAAAAAAACACCCAAGTCAGAAAGTAGACAACGTTTTTCTTGAGTACAGTTTAAAAAAAATCAGAAGCTGTGAGAGGCACGGAAAGCTCTCAGTTTCTCAGAAAGCTTTCAGATGCTCATGGCTACCACTGGTTGTTTCTCTTAGTGAGGGATTGTGGGAAAGTAAGCTCTAGCCTGTAACAGACCCATTTCTTCTCTGCCTTAGGTTTGTCTTGATGTATGCTACGGTACTCTGTACTCAGTATAATTCCGCTCTTACCACAACAATAGTTGGCTGCATTAAGGTGAGATGGAAGAACAATATTGCTTCTTTCTGGAATCTGCTTTATTTAGAAATTGCTCCTCTAATTTAGAAATCTGGGGCCTAGCAGATGGCTTTGCTGGTAAAGATGCTTACTGTCAAGTCTGAGGACATGAGTTCAATCTCTAGAACTCACATAGGTGAGAACTGACTCTTGTGAGTTGTCCTCTGACCTCTATTTGCATACCGTATGATGAGTGCCTCCCAAGATAAGTAAAAACTGTTTTTAAAAAAGACTTAATTAAACATTTGGCTATGAGGCCAACAAGGTGGCTCAGCAGGTAAGAAGCAAAATTGTATAAGCCTGATGACCTGAGTTTGAGTCTTATAATTCATGTAAAACTGGGAGGAGAGAGCTGACTCCACAGAATTGTCCTCTAACTGTGCATGCATCCTTCCCCTATCATAAACATAGCAATAATAATTTTTTTTTCCAAGAATCTGTTGGTAGTTTAAGTCTCATAGCCTTATTCATACGTTCTGGCTTACTAGCTTGGCACTAGCTTGTGGTGCTAATTTCTAAGTCAGTTTATAAAAACTAAGGAAGGGTATGGCCTCTACTTGAAGGTGCCTTAGCTCTAGGGAATGTGGGAAAATTTAGACATATTAGTTACTTTAGAGAAAGAGAAGTAGACTGCTTCCTGACGGAATTATAGACTCATCCTGTTAGCCCCCACTGAGAATTGTACTCCAAGAGATGCCTTTGGGGGGAGGGGCGAGGTGAAGCCAGCTGGAAGTTAATCAAGGTGGGTTTTCTATATCTGAGCCACCCATAAGTGGTCTGGCAGTTCCAGTGATGTCTCTTCTTCTGATCCATTTTATTTAAGAAAGAATCATTTGTCTTCAAGCAGAAAAGCCAAATTAACTTGAGTATTGACCTAAAGCTCACTGAAACCTGGGACCTCTTTTATCAGACTTAATGGTTCTAGTTTTTCAGTTGTAAGAATGCCCATATGCCCAGATTCCTCAACAGTTAGCAAAATGGGCTTGCTTTCTGAAAGAGGCCAGATCAAGAGAGGCAGGTCTATGATCATTTTGGAAAAGTCAGGCAGTTGCCCCTCTGATGCCCTTGTCAGTCAGCAATGAGTGTTAAAGTTATTTTTATAAAGCTGTTTGTTTCTTAGTTCCTCCCTTAACCCAGCTATCGCACAAATAATTGAGACACATTTATATTTGTTTAATAATAAGCTTCACAGCATAATAACTGAGCAGTTATTACTTTATTCTTAACTCTCTAAGTTAATTTGGTTTCCTTCCAGTGTACATCCCAGAGAAACTTGCACTCTGTAGCTTTCTCTACTCCAATCTCTTGGACCTTTCCTGTGGCTGAGGCCTCTACTTCCTCTTGTAACTCCTCCACCCCTAGCTGGCAGGAAGTCCAGCCCTATGCTCTCCCTGCTCAGCAATTGGCTGTAGGCTGCTTTATTGGCATATCAGGGGACAATTGAGGAGGCACAGCATTGAGAAAGGAGAGTCTCAGAACAAGGATTGCAAGCAGATATGGGGGATACAGAATCAGCATTTGAATTACACAATAACTTTATGCCTACAAGTGAGGGAAGGGAATGCAGAGGGAAGATCGTAGCTCTCTATAGATTTTTCTCCGAACTCCCAATGGAGTAGGACTCATTAAACTTATGAGAAACTGCACTGGGTTAAAATTCCTGAACATCTCCAGTTCCCCATCATGGAACTGGAGTTTGATATGAATGCAGCTCCAGATATAGCAAGTCAGTTGCATGAAATCTTTCAGAAAACTCATTTAGTAGCAGTCTGTCTGCTTTACGACTGAAAGATGGAAGTTTTAAGCTATTAAGGAAGAAACCTCAAAGACATTCTGTTGGTCAAGTCTCTGTCTTCCTTTTTCATTTTTTTAAAGGGGGGATGTTTTTAAAGGGTTTCTCTGCGTAGCCCTGCCTATCCTGAAACTTACTTTGCAGATCAGGCTGGCCTCGAACTCAAAGAGAGTTGAGTGTTGGGATTAAAGGCGTGTGCCCCAACTACCTGGCCTTCCTTTCCATTTTTAAAAGAAGGAAAATGTGTTTTCTTTATTCTCTCCTCACAAGTCTACAATTATCCCAATGGGAGAAAAAAATTATATTGCCCATACCAGGAGGCAGAGGAAGTTTGATAATGTGTAGTATTCTTCATGTAGGTGAGAGTGTTTATCCTTTTGAGAAACGGGCTGGGGAAAGGCTGTTAGAGATGCCTAATTCTTGCTCCTAAAGCACTCATGATAGATCTTTGTGTGTACTGCGTGCTTATTCATTTTGTACTTGAATCTCATGAGCATGCATACATGCACACTTCAAAAGCTCTCAGACTTGATAACAATATATCATTTTCTTTTTAGAATATATTAATAACTTATATCGGGATGGTCTTTGGTGGAGATTATATTTTCACATGGACAAATTTTATTGGCCTAAATATCAGGTAAGTAAAAATATTGAATCAAATATAACTGTGATGATAAGGAGGGGTTTAGGTGCTCAAACTGTGTTACAGGGTTAGGCTGCTCGTTCACCTGTAAATATGTTCAGTTACTAAAAAAAACAAAAAAAAAACAAAAAAAAAACTTCTGGAGTACCTAAAATGTAGTCATGTATTTTAATGTCTCCAGCTAATGTCTTTTAAGAAACAAAAGGAAATGGTTTCATATTCAGTGCATAAGATTCAGAGTAGAACCCTCTCTCCATTGTGCCAAAGAACAGTCATTTGCTTATTAATCCTGATGGCAGGTAATGCTATCAAGAAATTCAGGGCTAATACCATTTCTATTACGGTTGTGAGTATCTGATTGTAGATATGTCACTGCTTCTTAAAAAATATGAATTTTGTTGGGTAGCGGACATGTCTTAGCAGTTAAGAGCACTGGCTACTCTTCCATGGGAACCAAGTTTAATTCCCAGCACCCATATGGTCGCTCGCACCATCTGTAATGCCACTTCCAGAGGATTTGATGTCTTCTGGACTCCACAGGCACCAGACATGCACATGGCAATAGATACAGGCAAAACATTCAAACACCTAAAGTAAAAGCAATGTTTGAAATCAGTTTTGCCATTTGACAATTTCTTACAAGTATGTAATGTATCTGGAGTTCTGTCCTCACTCATTCCCTTACTAACTCTCATTCCTATCAACCCTTACCCCATCACTGTTATTCCGTTTCCCAGATCATGACTTTGTTTTCATTTTGTGACCTCTTTAATTTTGCCAGTGCCATCTCTGTGACCATTAGATTACAACTATCCATAGTTGATATCCTGGATAACCCACTGTGCTGGTGGGTTGTCAGTGAGTACAGACATGAGGGCAGTGGTTCGCAGGTCTCCAAATCTATCCATAGCAAATAGGATGGGGCCCCTTGAGCTGCAGCCATCCCTGACTGTTGATGGGCCCATTCTTGTTCAGAGCCAGTGCAGGCATGCATAGCTGCCTTTGAGTTCATAATTGTACTGGCTGTGTCTTGCCCAGAAGAGATGACATTTCATAGCCTTTTAACCTTCCAACTCTTTCATTCTTTTTTTTTTAAGATTTATTTATTTTTTATTTTGTCTACATATATGCCTACACACTAGAAGAGGACACCAGATCTCATTATAGATGGTTGTGAGCCATCCTCTGGTTGCTGGGAATTGAACTCAGGACTTTTAGAAGAACAGCCAATGCTCTTAACCTCTGAGCCATCTTACCAGCCCTCTTTCATTCTTTGTATCCTGTTTTTTTTTTTTTTTTTTTTTTTTTTTTATTTTGTTTTTCTGCAGTGTTCCCTGAGCCTCAGAGGGAATAATATAAATATCTTGTTTAGAGCTTGGCACTCATCAGTCAGTTCTTCTCATCATGTTTACAGACACGAATCTCTACTTCAATACTGTTCACTGTCTATGAGTACAAACATAAATATTTAGAAGGCAGCATGATGCTATGTTCATTTGTTAAACAACAGTATTAGGTGCCCTCCTCCCCTGTGGTTTTGCTCACCATGAATTTTTGACCAGCTTTACAATACCAACATGAATTCCCTCTTGTGAAATGGGTCTCAAATCCAACCAGAGAGGACACTTATGCACATTAGTGCCACTATTGTGCAGGTGGACAGTCTTGGCAGATGGGTCTACTATATTGCCAGAGTCACAGCTTGATAAGAACATAGATGCTTTTTCTCCCCCCGGTTGGCTACACATAGTACCTTCTAGGACTGTGGAGGCTAACCAGCAGAGAGAATCTTCCTGCTCAGTTCCTGCTAGATTTGTTTGTATCTTGCATCCAGGGTGTCTGGTATCTTCAGCAGCAGGATCTTATTGTTTAGCTCTGGTGAGCAGCTAAAAGGGATGGCAAGAGCTAATATGGTTTTGGAGGAACCTCTGAGCTTTTTGTTTATTAACTCTTGGCTTCTTGGAGCAGCTTTTTCCAGTCATATACAAAAATCTCCCTTCAAATTCTCTCTCTTTTAAATTTTGGCTACAAGATAGTAAGTTTCAATTTAGGTTTTCATACACCCTACATTTTGCTTAACTCTTCTTCCCACCCCCCCTCCTTGTTTAAACTTTGCTATACTCAGTATTCCTGCTCTGTATTTTCATGTTGTTTTCCACCCCTCACTTAAGGCTTCCCCCTCCCGATGGCCTCTTTCTACAGCTGCAAGTTGGACACACAAAATAAGAGATTCAAAGCTAGAATCCACCCATGAAGGAGATTGTGCAGTGTTTGTTTTTTGTGCCTGGTTGCATCACTTGATATATTGTTTCCAGTTTCATCTATTTAACTGCATATTTCATAACTTCATTCTTCTTTACAGCTGAATAACTCCATTATTCATATTATTCACATTTCCATTATTCATTCATCAGCTAATAGACATCTAAGCTGATCCCAGGTCCTAACCATTGTGAATAGAGTGGCAGTGAACATGAATGAGCAAGTATTGCTGGAGCAGGATGTAGGTATATGTGTCCCAGGAACAGCTGGGTCATTGGTGGATCTGACTGTAGCTCTTGCAGGCCTGTGCACACAGGTTTCCATAGTGGCTTTGCTCCCCACCAATGTCACTGCCTTTCTTTTAGCTTCGTTTGCTGAAAAGCTGATTGACACTGTATGGAAGACTAATTTCAGTTCTAGGGTTTGAGTTTTATGATTTTAAGTATTATTTATATGCCTATAAATTATCCAGTTTATTTTTGGGCCAGATCTCTGTCCTGATGTTAGTCTTATCTCTTTAGTAGCTTACTTGCCACCTCTAGATGATTAGGCGAAACCCAGCTCCTTTCATTTCCTCCGAGTCAACTCTACCCACAGTCCTGGCCATCTTAATTGCCAGAAACCATACCCTGGTGAAAAACTAGTCTCCATTGGATGTAGGAATTATTTTACACTTTATGTTTACTTTTCCTTACATGTATATGTGTTCATCTATGTGGGGAGGCCAGAGTTAGTCCTTTCCTTCCACTTTTCCATGGGCCTGGGGCTAGTTCTTTTACTGGCGGAACCATCTCACTAGCCTTTCTTCTTTTTAAGTAGAAGCAAGAAACATAACTTTCCTAACCTTTCACTTCTTCAGGTATAAAAAATGATTTTTCTTACTTGCTTTATGAATAAATATGGAGATTAATAATATTAATAGCTTAACAACTCTCTTTTGGCTTTCCCCTAATGTTTATTTGCCATCCACTTGGGGTGGAGTTGGCAGGGGAAATTAGTAGAAGATGTGTTGTCTTAGTCACTGTTTTACTGCTGTGAAGAAAACCCTTAATTGTGATCTTGTTTACAGTTTCACAGGCTTAATCCATTAATCATCATAGCTTCATGCAGGCAGCCATGGTACTGAAGAAGTAGCTTAGAGCTTTTACATCCTGATCCACAGGCAGAGAGAGACAGAGACACAGACAGGCAGACTGACTGACTGACTGACTGACTGACAGGGCCTGGCCTGGACTTTTGAAACCTCAAAGCCCACCACTGGAGACACATCTCCTTCAACAAGGACACTTACTCCAATGAGATTACACCTCCTAATTCTTCCCAACAGTCCACCAGGTAGGAACCAAGAATTCAGAGATATGAACCTACTTGGGCCATTTTCTCAAATCACCATTATGTGGTACCTGGAGGTTGCCTCTTGAGGGGTGTGGAGTGGCAGGCTCTGTTTGGAGTTGGAGTGGATGCTGGCTTCTGTTTGTCTTTGAGTAAGCTGTTGATGTTTCTGAGTCCCCCCCACACACTTTTTTTTTAATGTGGGATGAAAAATAACTTACTGTTGAGTTAGAATGACAGAACCCAGCAGGGTTAAAATCCAGGCATTTCAGCTACTGTTCAAATGTTATTTTCATTACAGCTTTTGGCCAGGAAAATAAATTGTTTAGTTTTTTACATTTTATTTTAAAATGAAAGTCTTTATTATTCTAGGGCTGTGGGTTTTTTTTGTTTGTTTGTTTTTGTTTTTGTTTTTTTGGTTGCTGTTCTTTTTGACTGGTCAGTATGTAACAACAGAAGTTGTGGATATTAATTTTTTTTTTTTAATTCAAAAGCAAACTACAGGGACTATTTAATAGATTCCATTTGTTTGGAAATTATTTCAGTCAGTTCTTAATAGACTACACTTTAAAGAAAACCACTAACTGAACTGTATTTTTAAAGATATATGATTAGCCCTGAACAAATTTGGTTCCCTTCTACCCTACCTTATTTCTTTATTGTATAGAAAGGCTTAGCTGGGCAGTAGTGGCTCATGCTTTTAATCTCAGTGGAGGCAGAAGGCAGGTGGATCTCTGAGGTTAAGGCCAGCCTGGTCTACAGAGAGAATTTCAGGACAGCAAGGGTTACACAGAAACCCTGTCTTGAAACCCCCCCACAACACATAGATAGATAGATAGATAGATAGATAGATAGATAGATAGATAGATAGATAGATAGATAGATAGATGGAAGAAAAAGAAAGGCTAGCTAGCTCACATTTGTATCGCAGCTGTGGGGGTGCAAGCATGAGGAACAGGAGTTCAAGATCATCCTCAGTTACACAAAAAGTCACTGCCAGCCTTGGTCACATGATAGATACCCTATCTCAAATGCCAACCCAAGAGCAAAGCTGGATGTGCCCCTCCTGGCCTGGTTCAGTGCAGGGAGCAGGGAGCATGCTTAGTGGCTTTTCAGATGCCACTGAGCCTGGATTCTGTGACTTAGGGAGGTGTTCATGTTTTCCTTACCATACAAGTGAGAGCCTGTCTGCATCTTGCACACACACTTTTTTCCAGTGTCCAGTTTCTCTGTGTTCAGCCTAGGGTCCCCTCCCGAAAGAGAAGCAGCAGGGAGGGCAGGGAAGCAGCAGAGAAGACAGCTTGCTCCTGTGTGTCAAAGGGCTCTGGCCCATGGCTCAGGCCTAAAGAATGTTGCCTTCTGGATAATGATGACATAGTCTCACAGACACCCAGGATACA